CCCCCCCATCCATGTCATCAATATCAAGTGTGACATGTTTGTGGAAAGTAGCTTGTTGTTTTGTTTTTAAAGAACTTTCTCCTTGTTGGTGTTCAGAGCATGTCCTCAGCTGCTGTCTCCAGCCTCTCTGGGCCCAAGGAGGCTCTCCTGGACCAGCAGAGAGCTGCTGACGTGAGGACTGCTGCTCAGTGGATCAATGAGCCTCTGAGCAGCATGCTGAAGGGCACGAACCCCTGCGAGCAGTCCGAGGTGGACCACATACTCAGGTAGTGTTCAGGTGGTTTTTCTATTTTGCCGTGGTGGGTTTGCTCTTTTGTGGGGATATCGTCATCTGTTTCCACGTATTCCACTGATATAATAAAGGTGTGTGCAGTTATTTGTATGTACATTTTATATTTGTCCACATTTTGTTTTGTTGTCGTTTTGAAAAACCCTGCTTTCAAAAGTAGCAACCTTGAATAATTCATTTAGATTTTTCTTTTTGTTAAATGCTGCTGACAAATATTGGTACTAAGAAACATTCTGGGAGAAACCAAATACTTTGCCATTTGAAATGTTCCAATTTCACGCTCATTGGATGTGTCCCTGGTTTCTCAGAGGGAGCTTTGCAGTTCTGATTCCTGGACTCCAGAATGAAACATTCCTGAGCCCGGTGGTCACGTCACTAAGGAGCTTATTTAAGAAGCTTAACCAGTGGTTTATAACTTTACAGAAGAAATGTTGGAATTCCAAAATGTATTGACTTAAATAACTGACAAAAGGGAACCCTTCGGGGTTGCGCTTGGAACTTGTTTGCCTATTGTCACAGCCCATCATATCATATTGATGCACTGAGCTTTTCCTATTGGTTGCTTTTGCATTATGTCTCCTGACCCATAGAAAAGCTTAATGAGTACTATGAATCATTATGGGGTGGGGGTTGATGTGAACAACGCTTAATTGAAATTGCACTGCCTATCTTGATTCAAATTTGAAACATTAAGCAGTGGAAATTGTTCAGACATAACAACCAGAGTTTCCAGCTGATCTCCCGTCAGATTAGACTTCACTCGCGTTTATGTCCATATCGATCAGATCTATCTAGTTCTAGCTAATGATATGACTACCTGCTTATCAAGACACCTAAACAATAAGCGTCGCTATGCAACCGGGTGAGGCCGCAAAGTATAGCGCAGCATTATGCATTTGTTTATGCCCACTGGAACCCAGAGGCATTACCAACAGGTCAACGCACAATCAACCCATACAGGACATCTCTTTCTCCACATTAAGTGTTAGACATTAGAATGGACTATTCTTGTCTGTCACATACTATTCTTGTCTGTCACATACTATTCTTGTCTGTCACATACTCTTCTTGTCTGTCACATACTCTTGTTGTCTGTCACATACTCTTCTTGTCTGTCACATACTCTTCTTGTCTGTCACATAAGTGGCGCAACTGATGCGGTATTGTGCTATGTGGAAATTGTTTTGACCGGACATTTTGACCGGAGAGATTTAGATTTGCCGGTCTTCAGCATATTTTACCATTCAAAGTCTGGTAATAATTTGTTAACGGAAACTCTGATAACAACCTATATCTATTTGGTTGTCTTGCTTTATTTTGTACAGATTGATAGAGTACTTTATGAATCTATTTTGCAAGAAAGACCTGAGAACAGCAGGTGAAATAGAATAGTGTTTTTTCCACTGAGGCAATAAGAGCTTCTAGACTAGTACTGACCCATTGCCCAGGTATTTATAGGAAAAGGGCTATAGAAATGAGCATCATACTGGATGTGTGGATCGCAGAAGGATGGTAGATAAAACTAGATGCCATCTAGTTTTTTTCAATTTTCACAACACAATAATGACGTAGCACATACATGACAAGTACATAATTACAAAGCAAAAAGACAAAACATGACAACAACAAAAAAATCAAAAAAACAGCTCAATCTCAAACATACACATATGTAGGTAGTTACAGGAGTATCACATTTATGATTGATGATGAATTTTTAATGACAGGAGATTCATGATATTCGTTTAACAATAATAGCCGACAATTCAGGTCCAAGGAAATCTAAGTAAGGCTTCCAGATTGTATAGAACTGATCTGATTTGGCATGTGAGATATTTGTGAGATATTCCAGGGGAACCAACTAAAATATAATGTTGCGCCAGCCTTTGAGAGATGGGACCTGATCCTTAGTCCACTGTAACAAAATATTTTTCCTAGCAGCAAAAGTAAGGACATTATATAATCTTCTGTTCGCAGCAGTAGGTAGTGATTTGACTGGTAGACCTAAAATCAAAGACAGCGGGTCCATATCTAAATGTCTATGAAATATCTTCTCCATTTCAACTAATATGTCAGACAAATATTTCTGAAGTTTGCAGCATGACCAGAAGCAATGGGTCAGGGTTCCTATTTCTGTTTTACATTTTAGACACATGGGGGAGAGTGAGGGGTTAAAACAGTGCCTGCGATTAGGGGATATACTGTATGTATCCTATGTATAATTCTCAACTGCATTGCTTTTGCTCTGGCACATATGGATATCTTTTTGGCATAATTCCAGACATCTTCCCATGTCTCCTCATCGATAGTCACTGACAATTCCCTCTCCCAAGCCCCTTCGCCTCTTTGCGTATTATTAGGAGTCATGCCTCGCATTACTTCATAAAACAAACTGAGAGACAATCTCCCTGGTTGACGGTACAGGAATTTCTCAATGACAGATACCTCCCTGTGATCTATAAGGGTTGTATTGCTAGCTTTCAGCAGTGGCGTAAGAAAGGCTTAACTAAATTGGGATCTGCAAAAAACGAAAGAAGTCGTGCCTTGGGAGCTGATACTTTGTCCTTAATTGATCAAATGACATGAGACAACTGTCATTGAACAAGTCCCCCAATTTAGTTAAGCCTTTCTTACGCCACTGCTGAAAGCTAGGGTCCATTACTCCTGGCAAAAAGTCTGGGTTGTTGGTTATCGGGGTGAAAATGGAAGTCAATTTGAGCCTCCCTTCCATACGGCGAGATGACCGCCATGCTTTCAAAGCATTAATTGTGATTGGGTTGGTACATTTTTCTTTTATGTTTTTAAAACTCCCAAAATACAGTAAGTCCTGTAGAGCACATTTTGATAATGAGGATTCAATATCCAACCATGTAGAAGAGACATCATTCTTTATCCATTGAGATATTGCTGTCAGGTGAGCACAGAGCTGATACACTTTAATATTTGGCAGGTCTAAGCCACCCATAGAGCCAGGCAGCTGCAGCACTGACATTTTTAGTCTAGGTCTACGTTTGTCCCATATGAAAGAGCTAAGCCAGCTGTTCAGATCCTTAAGCACCCTGTATGAAAATAAAATAGGAATCATCTGAATGGGATAAAGCAACCTGGGTAATACATTCATTTTAATCAGAGCTATTCGCCCAAGCCAGGAGATAGGGAGTGAGATCCATCTAAATCTTGTTTTACCTTACCAAATAATGGAGTAAAATTGGCTTTGTACAGTTGATTAAATGACGGGGTAATACTAAACCAATCTACCCTCTCAATGAGAGCTGGGACTGATACTGTATCTAAGGCTGGGATAAAAACACTATGACGTTGTCCGCATATAAACTTATTTTATGACATATCTCTCCAAGCTGCAAGCCATGTATGGAAGGCGTGGCTCTAATTATCTCAGCCAGTGGTGAGCGCAAAGAGGAGAGGAGACAGTGGACAGCCCTGCCTGGTGCCTCTATGTGTTGGAAAGTACTCTGATCTTAATCTGTTAGTTACAACAGCTGCTTGTGGGTTGGTGTACAATATTCTCACCCATTTCAAAAAGTTATTGCCAAGACCAAATTTGTCCAATGTGTAGAATAGGAAGGACCACTCTACACGGTCAAATGCCTTCTCTGCATCCATGGAAATCACCAATCCATCTATAGAATCATTTTCAAAGGCCTGTATAACATTCAAAAGACGTCTTACATTGTTTGTAGAATCACGGCGTTTTATAAAACCAGTTTGGTCCTCTCTAATTAGTATAGGCAAAAGGTCCTCCAAACGAGTTGCTAGAACCTTAGAAAGCAATTTCCGGTCTACATTCAAGAGTGCTATTGGCCTGAAGCCTAGGAGGCACAAGATTCTGGGCATTTTCCCTTTTTTAATATAAGAGATATGTTTGCTTCTCTCAAAGTCCGCGGTAATTATGTCGTAGTAAATGAATGATTAAGCATTTCGAGTAATGGTTCTAGAAGCAGGCTGCTAAATTCTTTATAAAATTCACAGGTTAGTCCATCTGGTCCTGGTGACTTTCCACTCTGGAGATTTTTAATGGCATTGATAAGTTCCTCTTTTGTGATTGGGCCATTAAGGAGGCTTCTTTGTTCCTCTGATATTGTTGGAAGATTAATCTTAGCAAAAAAGTCCTCCATTAAATGAGGCGCTTCACTTGTCTGCTCTGAACAATACAAATCCGTGTAAAATGTTTTGAAGCAGTCATTTATTAATCTATTTTTATATATTCTGTTACCTTCTGAATCAACAATGGCAGCTATGGACTGGGACTCTGCTTTTTTTTTGGCAAGGTACGCAATACAGTTCCCTGGTTTATCACCATGTTCATAAAACCTTTGCTTAACATATCTAATTTTCTTCTCTGCCTCTTTAGTAAGGAGACAGTTTATAGCTGATTTGAGGGCAGATATTTCTTACCATAAAGTAGGTGATGGTGAGTTGATATAAGCTTTTTCCTTGTCTGTCAGTTCAATTGCTAAGTTATTGCTCACCTGCTTCTCCAGACGAGTCACTTTAGACTGTAACAGATCAGCCGCAGTTTCCACGTTTACAATTCTGTCCTCAGGCTCGCAAACACGGGCTACAAGCGCCTGAATTTGAGTTGTTTGATCCTTTATGGCTGCGAACACTGCGTCTATTTTAGCGTTGAGAACCTTAGTTATCTTTTCTGTAATGTTGTCCATTGTTTTTAGAATATTTGGATCCGTGTTACCGCTGCTGCTAGCATGTTCAGGTGCGCTAGCTTGTGCTCCCTCGCCATGCTCCTCCTCCTCTGTCTCGGTCGTCTTTGCTTTCTTTTGTCTGGGCATGTTGTCCGAAATTTTTGAAAAGTAGTACTCCAGGGTCATTATATAGTAACAACGATCATAAACTCTGATAATTTTGCCATGAAATGTGATTAATAAACGGATTATTTAACAGTTGTAGCCGGAGCTCAATGAAACACGTCTCTCCTCTATGCCGCCATCTTGTTTCCTTTCCGACACCATCTAGTTGACTTGTATTATGTGCATTTTGCCCCGTTATCTTTGTTAAAGATCAGCCTTCTTTAGAACGCGTTGTTTTTCTGACCTTAAACTTGTTTTGCAGCAACTTCTTTATGGCTCGCTACCTGGAAGACAAAGACATCCAGAACAAGGAGAAGGAGGAGCTTGGTCCCCCCTCGGAGCCTGAGGTGGTGCCGTCTTCCCCACTCCCCGCACCGAGCAAAGACAAGAAGAGTGTTGATAAAGGTAGAGTAGAGACTGGACATGCTAATTATTTCGTATCAAAATCAAATGAGCAGCGCAGCCAGATACTGAACCAGAACACGTTTGTGTGCTGGTTTTTCCATTTAATGTTATGCTGTTATGGACATTTATTACATTAGAAATCAGTTACATCTTCGGTTTGTACAACATGACTCTCCTACCCTTACAAATAAAAATCATTCAAAGCCTTAAAGGTCCCATGTCGTGCTTTTCTGGTTATTGCCCGTCCCCTTGTGTGTTCTGTAGCTTCTGCATGTAAACGGTCTGCAGAGTCACAGACCCCTCAAAGTACACCCTGTAGCGAGTAAAACTCCAACAAGCCGTTTAGGACAGAGAGTTAATACACATACTTTACAGAGATGCTGTATGAGAAACCAATGTGAGTTTGGAAAATTGCACAGTATAAATCTATTTTAGTAGACCTCAACAATGGAATTATGATCAGTAGAAATGGCCATGACATGGGACCTTTAATACAAGTATTATCTGTATCGGTACCATTAAAGGTACAATGTTTAAAATAAGCTTTTTTCTTTTCTTTTAAACATAAAACAATAAAACATTCATCAATATCAAACAGGTTACAGTGTTTGACATATTGTCAAAAGTCTGACCTCAGACCAGAGGGATAAGTACATGACCCAGAGTGGGGGGTCAATAATACAGTCAAGGTCTGTGTCTGTTTTAGAGTTTATTTATAAAAGTGGCAGAGCCGAGAAAACTCTTCCTCCCAGCCGTCAGGAGGATATTTACCTGCTCTTCCAGTTCTCTGCAGCCTCGGGAAAGTCGTATCCCAGAGGACTGCAGACCTCCTGTTGCAGATCAACAATCCCACACAAGGATTAATAGATAGCATCGGGCCGGCTGTTCGATTAAAAAAGATTGTTTGATCACATTTTGTGTATTCTTTCCCACTGATTGACTTACAGGCAGGCATACAGGTATTACACAGGAGTAAAACAAACACTGTAAATGTATCAACACTAGGAGAGAGAGAGAGAGAGAGAGATATATCTTCTCCACCAGTCCTTGATATTTCAACCAAGACCAGGTTGCAAAAGAAATTTGCATTGTGTGCTTTAGATTCTTGACCTCACCTTTTTTTAACCTGAAATTGGTTAAAAGAATGGCTAAACATTTTAGTCTAAAAATACCTGGATCTTGCCGGCTATCTTACGCATGTAAAGTACGTTTTTCTAAAACTCTGCCATCAGTGATACTTCTTATAAATATACTAGTGGATGGATTTTGAAATGTGATGATGTGGGAGCAAAACAATCTGACACCTTAACCACCTTGTCTTATTTATTTTGCTCATTTCTGTTGCTCTATACCGTACATCACCTGCAAGCCTAAAATCAGACTGTGAGATCAGACTGCTGTTGTTTGTTTCCTTCTTTAAAACTTGTTTTGCTTATATCACAGGCAAGAAGAGTACCACTGCAGAGAAGCAATTACCTCCAGCAGAGCCACCAGAAGCAGTTTTGCCTGGGAGCCTAGCCATCGGCTCAGTGTCTCTGGCTGTGGCCCAAACTGGAGCAAAAATCCAGGGCGTCCCTCTTTACAGATATATAGCAGCTCTGAAGAACATAAAGGTTAGACCACACAAGCACACACGCACAGTGTATATTCACTAACACTCCACTGGGAGAAAAGTGTAATGATGTCTTTAACAACTGTACTCAGGATCCCGCACAGTTTCACATCCCAGTGCCTTTAATAACTCTGCTGAGCTGTGGGAAAACTTCTACTGGGAAACTGAGTTTACTGGAGGAGGTCATCCTGATCCCCAAAGCTGGACAACGAGTCAAACAAGTAACTTTCAAACACCTGAAGTTACATGTTATATCTGTTAGTAGTAGGTAACCTGGTAATGTATACAATTATAGTGCCCTTTGTGCAATTTATTTAGCTTCCTTTGTTCATGCTACAATGTGTTATTGGAACGACACCTTAGTTCTTCTATATTCAGTTTTCACTGCATTGTGAACTTGTTCCACAGATCATCACAAAGACCCTTGAGTTACAGAAGGAGATGATGAGAATAATGAACACTTCAACAAAGCATGGGGTGAGGGGAACGTGTTTTGTCCTGCCGTACTGTAAGAATAGAAGTGAGTTAACATGGGCTTTATGAGAGCACACAATGTACACGAGGCAGAGTTCAAGGCCTTTTAATGAGCGTTCCTTAACGTTACGTAAATAAAAGATTATTTTCCATTGTCCTTGCTCGTGTTTTGTCCTGCCGTACTGTAAGAATAGAAGTGAGTTAACATGGGCTTTATGAGAGCACACAATGTACACAAGGCAGAGTTCAAGGCCTTTTAATGAGCGTTCCTTAACGTTACATAAATAAAAGATTATTTTCCATTGTCCTTGCTCACCTTCAAATTAACTCATGAGTGCAGGCCTGGAACTCTTTCAGAATGCTAAGCATTCAATATTCAACCTTTTCTGTCATGCAGCTTTTGTACCGCATACACAATTATCTCCGGCATTGTTCAATGACCCGTAGTCTTAACAATCATAACGTGAACAGTGAAGAGGGGTAGTCTTCCAACACATATAACCTTGCAATGACAACTGTTTCATTCAAATGTATGAATGAACAATATTCTACTGTGATTCACATGCAGCTGAGCATAATGAATACATGGTGTTGACGAGGTGAACTGTGTGTTTGCTCCGAGGCTCAGGCAGTGCTGTGTGACAGTGGAGTGCTGGCTGTGAGCTACGAGCGGCCCGAGCAGCCTCTGGATCTGATCACTGAAGCCTGCTCCAACTCTGGTCTGGCTCTGGGAACAGAGATCCAGTTAGCTCTGAACTGTGCTGCGTCGGAGCTCATGGACTATGTAAGTGAACCTGCTGCTGGCTCTCTGTTGCCCCTTTCACACCAACGCGGTTCCAGGGCCGGTTCGGAGCTAGAGCCTGAAAAGCACCGTTTTTTCCTGTTCACACCGCAGCAGAGCCGTATTATAGCAGCTATCGGATGGAATCAATACATGGGCTGCACAGGTTGTCATGACTCATGTCCGACTATCACAAGTAGAATCATAATGAAAAATACGCCGGTAAAATGCCAGCTTATGCCACAATAGGATAGCAACAAGTAGTCAAGATAGTCAGTTTAGCTTCGGTTGCTATGCTAACATCACCCATTTTATACCAGAGAAACTTTCATAACAGCGTTGTGATGCTAAACTGCAGTGGTCGGTAAATGTCGCTGAAAAACATGAATAAACAATGAACCACGGCACTCTGGAGAAAAGTACAAGGGTTGAGAAGTAGTTATTTAATTTAATCTGGCTTCGTATGATTAAAAGCAACACGATCATCAACCCGACGCCGTTGGGGAGAAAATCAGAGACGTCATGATGCAGCAGTGGCAGCACCAGTCGGGCTCTGGGCGGTGTGAACAAAACGGGGGCTGAAACGAAAAACCGGTTCCGAACCAGAAAAGCTCTAGCACGGACCTAGAGCGGGAACCGCGTTGGTGTGAAAGGGGCATGTGAGACAACGTGGCCACGTCCTTATATGTGCACTCAGCTCACATGCTAATACTCAGGCTGGGGCAGTAATGGAATAATGTAATCGGGTTACAAAAACAGGTAACTATATTCCCTTGCAGTTACATAAAAAAATATGTAATCAGATTACTCTTACTTTTTGATATTGAGGTAATCCAAAAGGGACAAGAAGTAATCAGATTACATAACTCTTTATTTTCATACTCAGACTAGGTGACTAGGTGACTAGGTAACTAGTCTTTGTAGAAGATTACATTTTCAAAGTAACCCTCCCAACCCTGCAATACTGTTTAAGCACCGCTGACAGAGACATCCTGCAGCTGTTTGTCCTCCTCTCCTCAGACTAAAGGGAAGTATGAAATTGCAACAGGAGTTTTGAAGACTCCGGATGAATTAGTTGACATGTACCAAACCCTCGTCATCAAATACCCAGCCGTGGTGGCCCTCATCGATCCGCTCAGACGAGAAGTAAGTCTTAAACATTATCATTTCCGGGTTGATGTGCATGCACAATTGTGTTTATAATTTACAGACAATGTTGTTGATACTGTGTGTGTGTGTGTGTGTGTGTGTGTGTGTGTGTGTGTGTGTGTGTGTGTGTGTGTGTGTGTGTGTGTGTGTGTGTGTGTGTGTGTGTGTGTGTGTAGGACAGAGAGCAGTGGGAGAAGCTGAGCAATGTGATTGGAGACTCATGTTTGCTGCTCTCTGACATCACCTACAAGGCAAAGGCCCCGCCCCTTCCTGGAGTCAGAGGTCACATCTTAAAGCACACTCAGGAGACGACAGTCAGTGACTTGATCTGCATCACATCAGAGCACAAAGGTAACACGTCCACTGAGGGGGGGGGCATTAAATGTTGGCCAGGACAGATCTCAGCGGTTAGTTATTAAAGTACAGTTTAGGAATACAACAAAGAAACAGTATTCCTTGGCTTTTTTACTTTTTTCTTTACTGTATATAAGCTTTCAATTTGACTAAAAAGCTTCAACAGCAGCAGTAGAGTCCGTTTGTAATCATTAAGACTGAGGACATGAACTTTGACTTAAACTAGATAGATGGATGGATGGATGGATGGATAGATAGATGGATGGATGAATAGATGGATGGATAGATGGATGGATGGATGAATAGATGGATTGATAGATAGATGGATGGATAGATGGATTGATAGATAGATAGATAGATGGATAGATAGATGGATAGATGGATGGATAGATGGATTGATAGATAGATAGATAGATGGATAGATAGATGGATAGATGGATGGATAGATGGATAGATAGATGGATGGATAGATAGATAAATAGATGGATGGATGGATAGATGGATTGATGGATGGATGGATGGATTGATAGATGGATAGATAGATACACTGAACAAAAATATAAATGCAACACTTTTGTTTTTGCTCCCATTTTTCATGAGATGAACTCAAAGATCTAAAACATTTTCTATATACACAAAATAACCATTTCTCTCAAATATTGTTCACAAATCTGAAAATATCTGTGATAGTGAGCACTTCTCCTTTGCCGAGATAATCCATCCCACCTCACAGGTGTGGCATATCAAGATGCTGATAAGACAGCATGATTATTGCACAGGTGTGCCTTAGGCTGGCCACAATAAAAGGCCACTCTGAAACGTGCAGTTTTGCTTTATTGGGGGGGTCTGGGGGGGTCCGAAAACCCTAGGGTTAAACCCTAACCCTAACATGTCACCCATCCCCTTCGCATAGAGTTGATCAGGTTGTTGATTGTGGCCTGTGGAATGTTGGTCCACTCCTCTTCAATGGCTGTGCGAAGTTGCTGGATATTGGCAGGAACTGGAACACGCTGTCGTATACGCCGATCCAGAGCATCCCAAACATGCTCAATGGGTGACATGTTAATAATGCTCATCGGATATAATGAACTTCAAGCTGTTTAATGTTAGTGGTATGAGAAGTTTAAGCACAGGGAATAAACTTCCCGTTTGCTATAGTGTTTCCCTGCTAAGGATGTCATACGGGAGCCCACTTGCGAAATGTCTGTCCACAGTCTAATTTCCGTTGGTGGAGGAGTTTTGTATGTCGTGTACGGGATTCGGGTAGTTCCAGTGAATAGGGTGGCGACACAAGCAATGATGATGTCGGATACGTCAAATATTAGTACGTTTTACGTATTTACTCATCTTATCTTATAAACAGATGTACATCTGAAACGTTTACCACGTTTTCATCCAACTATCGACCGTTTTAACGACTTTACAGTTTTGTCAATGTGGAGTTTTCTTCTCATTATTCGTCGTAATAACATTGGGAAGTGTTTCCTCAGCGCCACCAACATATAATTGTCTCGGCCAAGTTTACTCCTATCCGAAAACCCGTTTTTACGAGTTGTTGTGTTCACACTCTTCCTGTTGGAACCTCAAGTCGCGAAATTTCTCAATATATAGACAATAAAGTGGTTAATTCTTCAAGTAGGGAGTTTCTTTGTTCTTTACTTTCGATGTTTGTACGTAACGTTCTTATAATAAATTTTACAAATTAATATATACAGGAACAGTCACTAATGGGACGCTCTTTATGTATAACCGTCAAAGGTAACGATGTGAGCTTCCCACAGTCCATGTAAAGTTCCCGAATAGCACGGAACTGTCCTTTTTGTGTTGTCGTATACCTGGGAGACTCTTGTTTTCAGACGGGTTTTCTCGTAAAGTGAAAGTGTTGTATGACAAAGACTGTAACAAGAAAATACGCAAATGAATTTTTTGTTTAGACATTTCGTGCAGTAAACTTGCTGTTTTCGATGTCTCCGACAGTCGTCCTTGTCCGTACGGAATCCGACGTAACATGCTTCCATGAATTTTAGTTAAAAAGGTGTTGTTATTTTGTAAAGACTCAACCGAGCATCGGTGAGGTTGTTATTAGACGGACACAGACGAACGTACTTTATTTGCCTGAAGTCTTCTTTTCGTTATTTTCGTTGCATTAAAAATGACCGACAAAACTAGCGCATAAATTACAAAGTTGCCGACATGCAATGGTTACTTGTTTATTTATTATTAGTCATGTAACTAAGCAAATATCGTGGTAAAGACCGTGTTCTGATTGCTCAGTTGCGTGGTCGAGTTTCAACTTTTACCACGGCTGACGTTACTATCTAGTTTCACTCCGTCCTAAGAAGGAAAGTTGTTGAGGGTACAAAGTTAGCAACACACGACTTCTTTTACTTACGGTATCGTTATCTTTCGTGGTCGAAAAGGGTTATGTTAAGGTGAAATACCAAGGATACTAACGGTGCCTGTCGAGGTTCTTTACATTGAGAGTTCTTGAATTGTGAAAACGCCAAATTCCGGGTCTGTCTGGCCCGGCAAAAAGACGCAGCTATCTACAGACCGTAGCCCTACGCACAGCACAGCGGCGATGAGTCCACCACACAGGGCGGTGGCAGCCCCCACCAGAAAATCCGGCACGGTTTGGAAAAACCGCGTTTCCGATGGGCAAGCAGTACACTTAGTCCATCCGTTAGCCGGTTTCCGACAGGCCAGTTTATTTAATGAGACTACGCGACAAGTCGATCTCCTTAGTCCACGTACGTCGTTCGCCTTATGCTTTACTGCCCTGGGTCTTGTTTGCTAATTTCGTGGTGTCCTGCCCGATAAGAAAAAGTAAAAGTAGAGTCGACCTGCGTTCTCAAACAAAAAGTAGTACCGCTAGACCTTACATTCTTTGCTTCTGGTTCGCGTTGCGATACACAACAAAACAATATAGTGCGGTCAGAAAGAAGAAGAGAGCGCATAGTGCGTCAGAGAGAAGGCGAACCAACGGAGAAAACTTACCTGCTTATGTGTGATGGCCCCGGTGGACGACCATTCCTCTCAATAACGGTGAGTGCAGCTACGCGTCAACGCATCGCACGAAGACCGGCAGCCGACTTCGAGAAACGCAAGGTCAACGCTGACAACCGGTCTCTGCGTCCTCTGCACTCCGCTGTGTTGTCAGCCCAAGCAGCCCCGCACGAAGAAACCTCAAGCGCTCAAACCAACACAGACCGGAATCGATGTGACTTGTTTTTTATAATTTACACGTTGTGAAAACAAAAACGCAGTGGCAAAAAGTACTCTACTTAGTTCTAGATTTTTTGTAAAGCAGCCATATATGGTGTCTTTATTGTAAAGAGAGTTCTATACAAGTGTCTTTAAACTTTTCTAGTCACTATCACTCGTGAAGGCGGCGATTCGGGGA